GAGGTGCGATCGGAAGGTTTCCAGACTGCGCGTATAAAAACCCGTGCACTTATCTCAGGTATTAAATTCATCCATCACCCTCGAAGTAGTTCCCCTGGGAGTGAACACAACGATCCCAGCGCCGCTGCCAAGCCTGGAAGCATCCCTGGAAATCTTTCTTTGTCAGCCTGTCAAGCACCATCTGGGATCGTTGTGTTCACTCCCAGGGGAACTACTTCGAGGGTGATGGATGAATTTAATACCTGAGATAAGTGTACGGGTTTTTATAGGCGCAGTCTTGAAATTTTCCGATCGCACCTCGTATATTAGAAGCCTTCAATTCACGATACCAATACAGACAATTAAGCAGTGTTCATTGGCACCTGTCGCTTAATAGTTGGTGTCATTATGGAGTCAAAATGGTGTCACATTGTACAACATCGATAATTTATTGGAAGCATTTAATCCGAAAGTCTTCAGCTGTCAATCAGTGCCCGTGGTAACGTTTGCCATAACGGGGTGATGTGATTGAAACACATCGAATTTTCACGTCAGAAATTTTGAAAAAATGTTCACGTCATTTAAAGGTAGATAACATTCTCTAGAAGTATACAATATATTTAAATACTCATGAATACACAAAGCCCTCATCCAAAACCATCTGTATCTAGATCAGAACGTGAAGCGTTATTGCAGAAAATCACGAAAGTAATTTTAAGTTATGAGTCTTAAATTTGCGTCAGTTATAATGGAAATCATTGTGGCATTTTCCAACGTTGTTTTTGGACTAGGACAGAAAACTGACATTTTTGGTGAATGGAGGCCAAGTCAGTCTTCAGCACCTTCAAGCAATGAATTTACCAGAAGGTACTGCCCACATTTGAATAAAAATACGAGTACTTTCACAGACCGAGTACAAAGATCGCTCTACGTAACGTAACAAAACATGGATCACTTTAAGGGACCTTCTGCTGTTTTTTTCAAATACATTGTGACATCTTTACGTAGCAACAACACGTCAGATTTCTCAAGATCTGCCCACAGAATTGGTCATACCACGTGCTATTTTTCAGTTCTTCAATGCAGAGATTTCCTTGCCTGATGGCTTCTGATCTTTTTCAGAACAACAACATGTACAAACTTCATTCCGCTTGAATATGTTGGTTCGTTTTTGAACACTCCCGAATATTTTACTTGTTCAATATCTCTACATGTCACTCAAGGTCGAGATCTTTCTTTTTAAAGTTTGCTCGTTAGGAGTATCTGTCGGAGTACATTTTAGAACGGAATTCTGCTTTCCGGATTAATTACAATAAAAACTATTGTGTTTCCGGACACAAATTATTTACACAAATCTATCGAGAAATGGCAAATTTGGAAGACCCCCGAAGAAACAAATATCAAAATGTGTTTTACGAGACATGAACCTCTACCAGCAATGATGGTATTAATGTGAACGTTGAATCGATTCTTTCTTAAACTTAGAAACCTGCAAAGGAAATGTTTTTTTTAACCTAGACGGATTAAACACGACGGCGTATCTTTGAAACACACCTCATGGACATCAGCGCTGCCCTCGCGGACCACGAGGAATCCCGTGATCCCAAGTTGGGATCCACAACACTAAACAGTGTACCTGACGTCTTGTTAGCCCTAAGTGAAGTTCTGGAGTGTTTCTAGTTTTCTGGGTGATACGTCGAATGCTGTTCGAATCCTCCTTTTTCTTTCTTAACGGAATGTGACGTCAGTCGTGCAAGGAGCCGATAACGCAGTAATCGCTTGTCGCAAAACAAAACATTTTCGAATTGTGGTAAGACCGAGCGCACATTAGCTTCAGAAATAAAGAGTCGCTTTTCTCGCGAGTTGTTTGTTTCAGCAGTTATGTTGGCTGCAGTATCAGCGATACCTCTGACGACAGATGCCCCATATCAGGAGGACTTTGGTATAAATATAACCAACTGTATGGATTTCCGATTGTACCGAATGGAATAAATATTCCCGCGTCTTTATAAGTGCTGTAGTACCTTTATGAAACCTTTACGTTACGCGAATGTGTACGTAGCTGAGGAAAAGATCGTATACAGCAAAGAAGTGTTTCTTGAAGCATATAGAATCTGTTCATTGTATCACAAGAGTCTAAGATGAGTGTGTCACTAAATTATTTATGTGGTTTCCTGACTATCCAATACATTTAGGAAGCTTGCGTAGAAAATTAACACTTTTGATTGACCGTCATATTTGTAAAGTAGATATATTTCGATTATGATTGTCAGCACAAAATGTCACAACGATGTTTGCAGGATTTGAGGTTTTCACGGTGTTGAGTCTGCGCTCCCCTCGCGGACCACGAGAAATCCCGTGATCCCAAGTTGGGATCCACAACACTAAATAGTGTACCTGACGTCTTGTTAGCCCTAAGTGAAGTTCTGGAGTGTTTCTAGTTTTCTGGGTGATACGTCGAATGCTGTTCGAATCCTCCTTTTTCTTTCTTAACGGAATGTGACGTCAGTCGTGCAAGGAGCCGATAACGCAGTAATCGCTTGTCGCAAAACAAAACATTTTCGAATTGTGGTAAGACCGAGCGCACATTAGCTTCAGAAATAAAGAGTCGCTTTTCTCGCGAGTTGTTTGTTTCAGCAGTTATGTTGGCTGCAGTATCAGCGATACCTCTGACGACAGATGCCCCATATCAGGAGGACTTTGGTATAAATATAACCAACTGTATGGATTTCCGATTGTACCGAATGGAATAAATATTCCCGCGTCTTTATAAGTGCTGTAGTACCTTTATGAAACCTTTACGTTACGCGAATGTGTACGTAGCTGAGGAAAAGATCGTATACAGCAAAGAAGTGTTTCTTGAAGCATATAGAATCTGTTCATTGTATCAC